AAGTAATAATAAAAAAAAAAATGTTTATTTCGATCACGTTGTTTTTGTAATCGTTGCAAGCCATAATCGTAATCGTGATTAAAATACGATTAATGAGCAGCCCTAAAACAAAGCTAGTTTTATATTACATTTTTTCCAACATTGTTGTTCCCTTTGTTATCTCATCATCATTAGAAAAAGTATAATGATTATGTTTTCCATAAGTCTCTGTTGATGCTTCTATTGTAGTAAAAAGCACCTACAGTCATTCACTTAGCCAGTATACTTGAAATAAATTCAATTTTAGATTTGGACTAACTTTATAAAATAAACAATCACACAATAAATAAATAAATAACCATAAAAAACAATTTTGTTGAATGTTGACTTTACCTTCACCACGTTCCTTGGCTTTTTGCTTTTAAGGAAGTCTAAAGTAACCTTACTGTACATTTCCATAAGAAGGGAAAACCTTGCATACATCTGATAGCTCCAAAGTGACACCTGCACTTTCTCTTTTTTCTTTTCCCTCACAGATGACATTCTCAGCAAGTCCCTATTCAGACCTGATCCAGGTCCCTACGAGCATGAGTCGGGATATGGAGCAACCCGAAATGTTGTGGGTCATGGGCCCGGTGCTGGCTGTGGTCCTCATCATTTTAATCGTCATCGCCATCCTGCTCTTTAAGAAGTAAGAAGTTATTTGTATTCTCTCTCCTCTGTGTTTGTGTGAGGTTGAACTGCATTGACACTTCTGATTGTTGGTTTCTTCTGGTTGCATCAGGAATGGTAATGAGCGTGCTCCCTTCCTGCACCAGGCTGCTCACACCAGACCGTTACATTCAATTTCCTTACCGTAATATACAGTAAGATGAGAAGAGTAACCAAAGGCGGATACATTTGTCTTTCAGAAAATCATAATTTCTCCATGAAAGATTGAGAAGGAATTCCTTTTTTACAGTACAACGTGAAGTGTCAGTTGAAATGGCAGCTGACGTTGCCTCCCTAATGAAAAGCACAGCTTGGCTGTCAAAAACCCTTAGTTAGGAGTGAGAAATGTGTTTTGGCTGCCACCATTGGTCATTTCAAAAAGAAACAGAAGGCTGCAACAGAGGGCTTAACTAAAAGCTCAGTCAATATCTCTTAAAAGCCTTCACTGTGCAGCACACCGTGGAAACACGCAGGCCAGAAAGGTACTGGCGTGGTATAGATAAATGGACAATTATAAAACTAGCACATTCAAACATTTGCTGGCTTCTACTTAACTGTTGATCTTTTCTTTTTACTTACAGTGTAGGTTTTAGACTCTCAACCTGGAACTATAAAAGTGTTGCCTCTCACTTAAAGAATGACTTGGAATTGTTAAAGATTATCGATGACTTAATCAGTTAATGAACCACTTGGCCTGTCTTTAGGCTAATCCTAATGTGGTTTGGACGCCATAAGAAATACCATCTAGATGAGAGTTTATAGATTGACTTATTGAGCCCCACCTCCCTATTTTCCCCTGATGGCTTCATTACGAACTCTCCATTTCATATCATACCTATTTTCCGAACTGCCATCCACAGCCTTGCAGACAGCTACGTGGCTGCCAACACTGCCACACTTACAAAGGGACTGGTTAATAATAGGCCTGGAGACAGCACACTGCTGAGTAGCACACCCTCTGTCTGGAAGCTCTTTCTCCATGTAGACACAGATCGACAGGAGGGACTGTGGGGAGGTGGCTGTGTGCCCTTTTCACTGTGGACTGGCAGTAAATGTGCAGGAATAATAACGCTCTAGTTCGGCTTGTTATTGCTACCTACATATACGCCAAGACCAATACAGGCGGGGAACAATGATGAGGTTATTCTAAAAAGTCTGCAGCGAGTGTTAAGATAACTTTGTACGCTGTGCTTTCAAGATGTGGTTAACATTTTTGGAAGAGCTGGAACTAGCTTTCTGAAAATAGTACAGATGCAGAACACTGGGTAAAGAAGCTAGAGGTTCATATGGATAACTATTACCTATTAATACCCCTCCCTCTCTTTTTGCCCTCTGTGAAAGCAGCAAACAGGAAAGGTGGGTACTTCACTGTTACATAAGTCACAACCTCATCTACCATCACCCAAGTCCCTTTCATTTGTGTTGTGAACTTGGTGGTATTCATCAGCTCTTGCAGGGTCAGCTTCCTCTCAGTTCCTCTCATATAGAAATAAAAGGAAACATCTTTAATCTGATCTGGTGCAATTTGAAGGAGATGAGAAGCAGCTGACTCAGCAGTCGTTGATGCCTGGGGTCAAAGGAACCCCCAGGTCACGTCTGTTTAGCAGCGCATGTTCCACGTCTAGTGCAAATGTTCCTCCTCAGATCTGCCATGGTTTGCCTCCGTGCTGTGTCTCATTATCCAGCCAGTGTCAGCGCACCCCCCCAGGATTGGCCCCATCTGAATATGCCAAGGCATCACCTGCTGCTGAATGGCCATTGAGAACTAAATGCCAGACTGGGAAACTGCTGTAAAAGAAACGTTCCCATCTTTTAAGCTGACATTTTCCACCGAGACCCATTCCTCCACTTTTAGCCTTTTTCCCCCTCTCCCTGCTTCCTCATGGCAGGAGGTTCAACAAAGGGCCCTGTTCTATCCTCATTAAGCACACTCTGTTCTGCACACACCCTCGCACTGTGCGTGTGTGTATAAGTGTGGGTATACTTACATTCTCACACGTCTTAACCCTCACTTTCAGCCTGAGATGAATAACCCCATTCAGATTGCTGCCGTGTTTACTTTAGCTCAGCACTAAAGTGTGATGTGGATTGGCATCTGATTGGGTCAGACAGAGAGATGAGGGGTCTGGAGAATAGATCACAGATGCCCAACCTTTCCGCCCCCTTCCCCACAGCCGAGCTTAGCACCAGCCGTGATCTCTGGGAAAACCGGATACGGCCCCGTCNCACTGTTCACATTTTTTTTCTCCAATAAATTGATTTTTTCTAAGTAAATGGATAATCATTTTTAATAATCGTGATATCAATTATTGACCTCGATTATGTGGGTCAATAATTGATATCACGATTATTAAAAATGATTATCCATTTACTTAGAAAAAATCAATTTATTGGAGAAAAAAAATGTGAACAGTGTGTTTTTAACAGTTGATTACCCGAACTTTAAGTATAATCCAACTGAAAAACCAATTTAAAAAAAAAAAAAATGTTTTATTTCGATCACGTTGTTTTTGTAATCGTTGCAAGCCATAATCGTAATCGTGATTAAAATACGATTAATGAGCAGCCCTTAGGGCTGCTCATTAATCGTATTTTAATCACGATTACGATTATGGCTTGCAACGATTACAAAAACAACGTGATCGAAATAAAACATTTTTTTTTTTTTTATTTACTTTTTTTTTTTTTTTTAAATTTGGTTTTTCAGTTGGATTATACTTAAAGTTCGGGTAATCAACTGTTAAAAACACACTGTTCACTATTTTTTTTCTCCAATAAATTGATTTTTTCTAAGTAAATGGATAATCATTTTTAATAATCGTGATATCAATTATTGACCCAAATAATCGAGATTATGATTTTTGCCATAATCGAGCAGCCCTACTTTGTTTATTGTGATAAGAACAGGGAGTCAAATGACCAAACTATCTGCACATTTCTAGTTACTGGCACCCTGTGGATGAACTTGTTTCCTGTTAATGACAGACCATGGTTCTGGGATGCAGCAGAACGAGTCATAAAGCTATAGATCTAACTCAAGAGACACTTTCGCAAAAACAATAACCATCTCGGCTAATGAAGTTATGTTTCTATTAAAGCAGTGCATCCCGTTAGAGATGATGACAGAGCAGGTGTGAGACAGGAGGGTGAGAGAGGCAGGGGTGAGTGTGCATGTCCCTTGGCCGCTGAGATAAATGGGGGCACAGGAGAGGACTCATCTCTTCTTCATTAGTGTTCACACCGTGACGGAAGGGGAGGAGGAATAGGTGACGGTAAGGGTGCGTTTCCACCTTGGTTGTAAATGAGACCTCTCTATGCTACTTCGTCTTCCAATGACGGAGGGGAAGGAATGGAGGTGTGTGTGTGTGTGTGTGTGTGTGTGTGTGTGTGTGTGTGTGTGTGTGTGTGTGTGTGTGTGTGTGTGTGTGTGTGTGTGTGAGCAGAAGTCTGAAAAGTGGGTGCACGAGGGTACGGTGTTTTAAAAAGTGTGTGAAAAAGTCCAACTGCAAGAGAGCAAGGTGACAGAGGAGAAAGAGGAAGAGGGAAGTGTGAGGCGTCTGTCATTAGAGCTCAGCAGGCCTTCTATTGCACGACGATGGGAGACGCAGGTCCTGGAGGGGAGGGGGTTCACGGAGGGGCATGGGTGACAGATCGCAGCTCTGGAAGGGAATTGGTCTC